GCGGCAGGCTAAACATGAGGACACAGATGACGTGCAACAATAAACGCATAAAATACACTTCTGTACCATTTGCTCCTTTTATTCCACATGCTCAAGCTGCGGTCAACAGAAAGTTTTGCCTCATGCTCACCCTACCTTTCTGCTCATCAACATCAGGTGCCGTGAACAGGTGAGTGCAACCACATTTATCATCTACCACACCCATGAGACACGCCCCACACCCGTGCACCAATACAGTGAGTCCATTTAAACCAACCCACTTAGTCAAAAAGGAACAACTCATATGGCTCCTACAGTAAATGGCCTGTATTTGTACAGCGCTTTATAGTGTATAGTGTTCACACATCCAGTCATCCACCCATTCGTGATGGCATGTAGCCACAGCCACCCTGGGGCGCACTGACAGAGGCGAGGCTGCTGGACACTGGTGCCACTGGGCCCTCTGACCACCACCAGTAGGCAATGAGTGAAGTGTCTTGCCCAAGGACACAACGGCCGGGGCTCGAACCGGCAACCTTCCGATTACAAGGCGAACTGCCAACTCTAGAGCCACGATTGCCCGTCATAGATCATACAAGTAGTCATACAACTGTCTCGAAAAGCAACACTTAATACTTTAGTTTGTCTTAAGAACTTAAATGAACGCTGCAAATATTTTCTTAAGTGGATTCTTTTGCAACCCAAAACTCAGCAGCTCTATTCCATATATGCTTTGTTTTGATCTATAGACGCCTATTCTGTCCACATTCAGTGTAAGTGAGACCAAATTTCACCAGCAAAACGTTGTCAACATTTCCGCATGCAAGATCAAACCTGCAGAGGTTGTTTTGCCTTCATACAGAATACAAGATATCATCATCAGCGGGCCAATATGACCAAACACAGGACCACACATGATGAGTTTGTCCTTCGGTGGATGCCATTAAAGAGTCACCTGGGAGATCATTTTCCAGTCTGCTTTGCTGTGGAGTCCGTGACAGGGTTAGCCTTTCATTCATTCCTTTAATGATGGAGTTAGTATGGGGACCAAAAACTATCAACTGACTCATTCCCTGTCTTGCAGGCTGGGTGTACCAGCTTTTCAAGCGTTACACATTCCCACTCACATGCCAACCCAACCTCACAGTAAGTTCAGTTCAATTCAGTTTTATTTATATAGCAATAAATCACAGCAACAGTCACCTCAAGCTGCTTTATATTGTAAGGTGAAGACCCTACAATATTACAGAGAAAACCCCCACAAGCAGATAAACCTCTATGAGCTAGCACTTGGTGACAGTGGGAATGAAAAAAAAACAAAAACCTTTTAACAGGAAGAAACTGGCAGAACCAGGCTGGGGGAGGGGCGGGGCCATCTGCCGTGACCGGTAGACGATGTAATGACTCATCATTATGTTAGGTGTTAAGAAAATAAACCATCTCCTGCCTGAAAAATGAAAATAAAGAAGGATCTGAAACAAATAATGACAAAGCTACCAACACTGAACTTTAACATGATTAATTCAGGTAAACACATAAAACATCCGGTGTATCCGTTTACTGGAAAGTAACCAGACCCAAGTCTAATCAGCCTACGTGAATGATGGTAATTATAAATCCTCTCCATAGTAAAGTTGTTAAGTCATTGTTCATTAATGTTTTTTTTCTCAGGTCTGGAGTCTATCAGTCTGAGATGAGGTGTGCTATCCTGGATGTCAGGAAGGAGGAAAGTGAGTCTAAAGGCTGCTCTGATGTCAACATTTATTATCTAACACTTGAAGTTTTAACATACTGGCAGTACTGCAGAGTGGTTTGAGTAATGCCTCTCTTGTGAAGCACTTTGTAACATATATCTGTGAAAACTGCTATATAAATAAACTTTTACTCACTTACTTTACTTGCTTACTTTAAATAAGTAATGTGAGTGTTTTTATTTTGACGTGTTATTGACTTGTTTCAGTTAAAACCAATGTGATCTGCACTGAGTCCACAATGAGAGTTGAGATTGACAAATCGTCCTTCCGTGGACTCCACGAGGATCACCTGCGTCTCAGTGAACCCAGCAACACCCTCTGCAGCCTGGAGAGATACTTCAACAGCGCTCACGTCATCGGCATCATCCCCCTCAGTGCTTGCGGCACTCAAATCGAGGTAACGAGGGCTCATTTGTGTCAACACACACAAATTCATACCCTCTGCAGTATAACGTAGGAGATAAGGTTTACATGGAGATAGATGCCTCCTCTACAGTCAACAACACTGAGATTTTTGTGGAGTCCTGCAGAGCTTCGCCATATGACAACCCCAACTACCTGCCGACCTACTCCATCATCGAAAATGGGTAGGCATGAGGACAGGTGATGTATCAGTGAAGGTTCTCCTGTTTATCTGTTTGTACTTGAAGCAGTTACCTGAGTGCCTTTTAGAATAAAAATTTCTCTCATCTTTAAGAATTTCAGGTGTTATACAGAAGTGGAAGTCCATAGAACAAGGCTCTTTAAAGGTTTTTAAGGCATCAGGCTATCACTTGAATATTTGTGAATGGCGCTGTATGATGGTTAAACAAGGATTTATGATGAAATTGTAAGTTGTAGTCTCTTTCTTTGCATTGTGCTGTGATCAGGTGCCCAGTGCACTCCACTGTTATGACCCATGCACCAGACAACAAGAGACAATTTAGGTTCCATCGAGGCCTTCAAGTTCATTGGTTTGCACGATCAGGTAAAGAATGAGTTTAGACCAGGTCTCTAAATACGTTTCACATTGTGGTGCTTGAGCAGCACCATCGACTGGAACCAAATTCCTTGTATGTGTTTGCGCATATACTTGGCCAAAAAAGGGGGTTCTGATTCTGATGAATTCTACACCCAAAACTCAAGCCGTATCTTTTTAATCTGATTAACTTTATTGCATACTCACACATCTCGTGCACACATTGCTTGAAATTTGCTAAAAGTTACCTAATTTTAAAAAAAGTGTATTATGTGAAGAAAACATTGAAAATGTGTCCATCATGGGGCCTGGTTTTGCAGGAAAAAGGCCTGCTTTTGTTTATATGCTATAGTTTGTCATTTGTTGTTTGCTCATGTGGCCAAAGGGCAGATGATGTTTGCTATCAGTCACTAGAATCCTCCTTCAGTATGTTTCAGTGAAACTTTCATGATGAAAATGGGTTTCAGCCAAAATTGTTCTTAAGATCAAGATTGTATTTGTTGTTTTACAGATAATACCAGCAACAGACTGAGAGAGCAGCTATGATGCTTATAATTTAATGCTTAAAATAGTTATTTCATTGGCTGGGAATACATCCTCACATTAGGTTTGACAGCAGTTCTAGTTTTGTCTTAAGCATGAACTGAGGCTGCGGTTTGGGGAAGGCCTCAGAGGAGGCTGGCTCCCGGGCTGGGCAGATCTCCATGATCTCCATCAACAACTTGTAGCGCTGCAGACAGGGAAGCTAAATAAATAATCTCTATTTAAATCTGTGATGTCCACTTAACGTAAATTCAGTTTTTCCATCAGAAGGTTTTAATGCACGTGCAGCACTTGGATACTGAGAGATTTGAGGTTGAGTGACACGCACAGCCAAAGGTTTCACTTGCATTCAGGTATACATCAGCTGTTCAGTGATGGTATGTGAAGCGGGAAACCCCAACACCAGGTGCTCACAGGGATGCATCAACTCCACGTCAGACGCTCACCACCACTCCCACTGCTGAAAGAGAGGGACTGTCATGCAGACTGCACAGCACTTAATTTCCCAGGGTCCCCTGTGCCTGAAGAGGTCAGCAGACATCAGCAGGAGTGCAGGTGCTTTGTTTTAGTCACTGTAACTTTGGATAACGCTGAATTAAAACTGATCTTCTCTTGTTTCCAGGGAACGCCATGAACCTGAACCTGGTCTTCATAGCTGGATGTCTTCTTGCTGCTGTCGCTATGATCTGTGGCGTGCTCACGTTCAGGGCCGAAACATCGATGGTCAGATACCAAGCTTTGTCCTCAACTGAAAGTTAAAACCCTTCGTGTGCTCCACTGGATGAGATGAAATTATTTAGATCAGCCTGCAGTCTGAGTGTTCATGTATCGTCTCATGTGTGAATTAACTGATGAAAATCAATTATTTTCTATCAGTTATTATTAGAATAGTACACAGCTTTGGGTGCATAAGCTAAAACGGGAAAGAGTTTGTTTTTTAAATCTATAGATTTACAGTATAATTTGAAATGAATAAATCCTGATTATTGATCCTGATCAAAGATTTATAGAATAATGAAAGTCTTATTACTGTTTTTGTCCATGTTTACTTTCACCTGTCGACTGTGTAGCTCAAAGTCACAAGTGACATTTACACAACATATTCTTCATCCCACAGTTTCACAAACTGTGAAACAAGCTAACAAAGAGCTTGTTTGTGCTGCTTCTTCCTCCGGGTCTCTCTTGGAAATGAGGATATTTTTCCTTCTGATTAAATAAAGATGAAAAAAAAAATATAACTGCTTCTGTCTGAGATGTGGTGAAACATGGAATCCAGTAATTGTGACACATACTTCCATTTGTAACACATTTCTTACCAATCTGTAATCTTGGATTAATGTTTGTAATGTTATATCAATGTCAACCTTAAACGACGTCACACACAGAAGTCTCTGAAATCATCAGAATATGTAGCAAAAGTTCTAAAAGATCACAGTTTTCTCTTTGTGTCAATATCAATAAACTTCTTACAATGTAACTGGTAACGAAGGAATCTATACGGGGCAGCAGGAATGTTACCACAGCAACCCAAATCAGCTGTTCCTTTCCGTCTCCATAGTAATCGTGGTTACACGTCTTTTCTGTCCAATGTGGCCTTTTTGGTCTCGAGTGTAACCTAAGGTTTCATCGTTTGTTTCCATTCATCGATTGCAGACTGTGACAGTGACATGTTCACCTCCTTTAAGAGAGAGTTCTTCACTTAAACACAAAACGTCAGTTTTTCGTGTGATTGAAGGTTTCCCAGCAGGTCAGTAAATACAGAACACTTGGTTATAAAGATTTTATGTTATTACCTAAAACTACACAGCAGGTAATCTGTCAGGTGAAACAATCAGCTGACTGACGGTCCTCACAGAGGACAGACCTCCAACTGATTCACCACATCTGATGGGAGCGGATGCTCTTTAGTCTGGAAGAGAAAACACAAACACACAGACAGTGAAGAAGACGGTTCGAGGTGCTTTGCATACGACACTAAATTCAGTGTTTAAAAATAAAAGCATCTGTTTACTAAACGTAAACACAACACTCCCCCCTCTAAGAGATCTGATAGATAAAAATGATATCAGAATCAGAAGAGCAGATGAAAACAAACTATGTTCTTAATTGAACGCAGTGCGTTTCTGTCGGTGAGCGATGGATTACGGATTTAAAACGTTTTGGTGGAAACAAAAAAAAGAGGAAAAACTCTAAACATTGTTAATAATGATTGTTTTGCATACACAGCTTCTGACTTACATCAGCACTTTATAACAAACTAATTTCCAAGTGTCTACCACTCAATCAGGGTCATCTTTCGATGCTCTGACAGGTGACCTCTGACCTTTTTAGCAACTCGTCTGTCGACACCTGTCCGTCTTCACCTTCCTGCTCGCCGGCTCCTCCTCCTTGCTCTTCTTCGGCTGCTTCTTTGTGCTTGTGCTTCTTGTGTTTCTTCTTCTGCAAAGAAAAAAGAAGTCACAGCTTCAGCGTGAGGAAGGAGCCATTTTATCTGATCTGATCCTTATTCTTCGTTTTCTACCTTCTTTTCCTTCTTGTGTTTGTAATGCTTCTTTTTCTTGTGTTTCTTCTCTTTGCTCTTCTTGCCCGTTTTAACCTCCTTGATTGGAGGGCACATGGAGGCGGCGCCCCCTCTGACTAAACACAGGAACAACAGGCAGAGGTTATTAATCCTCCAGCAACGCTTTTACGAAGCAGGATGCACTTAATGAAGTAGAAGCAGAAGAGGAGCAGTGAAAGCGTCGATGAACAGACGCTCTAGTTCTACACACTGAATGTGGATCGATTCACACGAATGTAACCCAGCGGAGCTGATCACAGAGAGACTGCTGTATCTATAAAAACAATGTCCACGCAAGGGAAACCATGTGACTGGGTCACGGTGAATAAACTTGAGTTGTCTGTTGTTGATCTGGTGGGTGACACTCACTCAGAGCAGCCGAGGGAGGCGGCAGCTTCGGCCCAAACTCCTCCTCTTCCTGTTCGGAGGCCTGAGTGGAAACTGCTGGTTTTGAAGGAGCAGAGAGGAAAAGAGTTAACAGAGTTACGCTCGCCAGGGACGTGAGATTAGAGGAAAGGTTAAGGTGATTCAGCAAACTCAGAGTACCTGCTTGGTGACTGGAGGAGGCGGTGGCTGAGGAGGAGGTGGTGGCTGAGGAGGAGGCGGCTGAGGCTGAGGAGGAGGCGGTGGCTGAGGAGGAGGCGGTGGCTGAGGAGGAGGCGGTGGCTGAGGAGGAGGAGGGGATGCTGAAGAGGTTCAGTGGCTCCGAGTCCACTTTTCCTTCATCCTCCTTTGTCACCTTTTCTTCCTCCTCATCGCTGCTCTCCCCCTCTGATGAAGAGGAGGACTTCTCATCAGAGGAGCTAGCAAAGATGGCCTTAAACAGATCCATGGGAGGCCTGCTCTCCTCTTCCTCCTCCTCCTCCTCCTCTTCTTCATCACCTTCTTTCTTCTGCTCTGATGACTTTATCTGTAGAAGGAAGGATAAACTCTTTAGATTTAAGGACTTCCTCGCCTGCTGGTTTGGACACTTTGCTCTTTCACTACCTCCGGTTTGCTTCCTGGAGCCTGATCGCTGCTGCTGATTGAGGCAGGTAAGGCAGGCGTGGGGGTGTGCTCCACTTTGGTCTCGGTCTGGTTGCGTGCAGCACTGAGAAGCTCACCCAGCGGGTCCTCCTTCTTCTTCTCCACCTTCTGCTCAGAGACATCCCACCTGGACTTCTTCCCGGATTCTGGAGGTTTTGGAGGTGCTGAAGAGAAACAATGAGCTTAATCTGTGAGCACAGACACTGTGGTGTTAAACGGAAACTAAGAAAACATCAAATTTGTGTTAAGGCTACAAAGAAACTTAAATTCACGGAGGAAAAACTAAACGGAAAGAAAGTATTTAATAAAAGCAATCACTTCAGTTTTCCTGGCTTTACTTTTTTATCCTAAATAAATCCTGATTGGTCAACAAACCTCAGTCTGAGGAACAGCAGATTTAACCCTTAAAACATCGAAATAAATTCTTACATAACTCTTCAGTCACACTGAGATATTCTTTGATAAAAATGAGTTTGGATCAGTTTTCGTCTACTTGAGTTTTAAAAACACATTTAACTTTCATTTGTGCTGAAAAACAAAATCTGTCTACTTTACTGAGGTTTAGTGTGACTGTGACAGGGCAGGATGTGATAAAGCTGCTGCAGTCAGAAACATTTACTCGCTTTGGCTCATCGATGTGTAAATGGAGCTTGGGAGCTCGCTCACGTCTCGCTGTCAAAGCTAACTCTGCTTAACGGCTTCGTGCACTGACAGCTGCTCGTGTGGCCGACAGAAACAAGCCAAGCAGGCAAAAGTTGATACTGAAGGTCTGATCTTCCCTCACAGCACACCTGGGAACATCTTTTATGTTTAAAATAATACCGAGCATTGTTACAGGTGGGTGCTGTGGGTGGCAGTAAAGACAACATGGATTTAAACAAGCTTTTAAGTTAAAGAAACAAGAAAAAGGGCTTAAAGTTCTCTTACAGAATATTCTACTGCTTGCCTGTTAAAACTCTTTAGCGCCTCCTGTGTGTGAATGAAGTTACCTGCAGCCTCTCTGCTCTCAGTCACAGTCAGGAAATTGAAGACTGAAAACTTGTCTCTCTTCACTTTGGGCAGACCCACAATGCCGGACCTGCAGGACCAATCACAGTGAGACTTTAGCTCAGCAGAGTTTGGATTTAACCTCGACGTTCTGTTTAGAGCCGATTCAGATCTGTGTGCCGTACCCGGGGTAGGGGTCGGGCACGTTGAATCTTTTGCAGAGCAGTTTGTCAGGATACCACTCGAACGTTTCTCTGGTCAGTTTTCCAAACATCTTCATCTTTACTGCAGACTGTTTGTCATCCAGGTCTCCCTGACAACCAAAAGAAAGCATCAGTGACTCCTGAGCTTACCTGCAGTGTAGGGGTGTGGTTTTTTACAGCACCAGGTGGCGTCCTACCTCTTGGTCCTGGCTGACCTCCACGCTGTCATCGTCCTCCTGGTCTTTGGCTCTGGTGAAGCGGGAGGACAGCGAGGAGGAGGTGGGCCGGTACAAGATAGAAGCTCGGACAAACTCCTCCCTCTCCCGGCTGCGCTCCCACTCTGTCATTCCCGGGTCTAGACTCTGCTCCAGAGCGTCTGAGGGACACACAGAAGATTTTTACATTTTAATATCCAGGCGGTCTCTAATGTGGGAGCTTTAATGTTAGCCAGTAATCACATATACGCACGTGCTCAGACACGTAGGAGCATTAACCCTCTGGGGTCCAGGGTATAATTGGCCATTTTTGACTACTTTTGATTTTACTTCTATATTTCACCGTTAAAAACTGTTTATCTTGCCTTGTTTGGTATCATTATTTTCAGCACAACCTCAAATATCTGAAATTTGAGTTATTTTTGCATTTTGGCAAACTATATTAGAACAAATGATCTAAATTCAGACAAAAAATTCAAAATCCGAGTAGAAAAAAGTTATATTTTTTACTGTAAAACCCACAAACATGTTTAACGAATCATTTTCATAACTTGAAATGCAAATAGAAATTGTACATTTCTAAAAATTATGCACAAGATTTGCAAACAACAAAGTTATATGGTACTATTCACCTAAAAATGCAGCCAAGGCCTCAGGCGTTTATATAACCATTTAAATCTATTTACAGAACAATCAGCTGCATCAAATAAGAAGACACAAATTATTTGTGCCGGTCCAAAAAAATAGTTTGTGTTCAGTATAAGACAGAGGAGAACAGCACCGGCCTAAACCTGCAGGCCTGACAGCAGGAGGAGCATCCGTCCTGTTTTCCATGTGGGAACAGCGTTTACACTGGAATCTGCCTTTGACGGCTTTTTTGGAGCAAATGTGACATTCAGCAGTATAACTGACACACAACACAAAACAATAACTACACAACACACTAACTACAGCCTCCAAACACACTAAACGTCACTAATGTCTCACATATGAAAACTCGCTCTCTCTCTCACAGGTGTCACTCCTAAATCTTCCCCTTCTCCCTAAGCAACCAAGTGCCCCATGTTACCATATCATTTTTTTGATTGGCTGACATGGTAAACTCTAACATCAAATAGGGAAGGGGTGTTTTTTCTTTCTTCACTCGTAAGCGGAGAGTGTTTGCGAGCGCTGTCTGTAGAAAACGCTGTTTTTACCGTTCTTCCTGCGCCGCTGTTTTGTTCAGAAAAAAACATCACGTGTATTTTTTAATCATAACTCTGGTTTTACGTGGCCCATCGACACAATTCAAAAACTGGTATATAGTTTGAAGTCTGCACTTTCGACCCAAGTTGAAATGGCGACTCAGAGTCGCTGCATCTTGTAGCTGTGGCGTCTTAAATTGGTCATGTGATTTTGACGCGCCGACGCGTTTGTCGACCCCAGAGGGTTAATGATGGTTTTTGTGGTTTAACTAAAACTGTACCAACTATATCAAAGGATCCTGCAGTGCATGATGGGACCTGCAGGGCGGAGCCTCGTACCATTGTCTCCCTGCTTGAGACAGCTCAGGTAGAGTTCGTAGCGTGCCTGCTTGCTGGGGTTTTTCTCAAATGGTTTGAAGGTCTGTGACGATGTTTGGATGCCTCTCCACGCTGCCAGAGCCTCCTGCTGGAGGCCGGAGGAGGCAGGCAGCACTTGTGCCGACTTCCCTGATGTCTGCGAGGCATGACCGGAGACGGGGGTGGAGGTTTTGGCCGAGGGCGGGTTAGAGGAGTTGCGGAAGCTGAGCAGGCGCTGCCTGTCCTCGGGCCTCAGCAGCTCCATGACCGAACTGGGACCTGATCGGGATGAAGTTGGGAAAACATCACCAGCAGCATTAACGCACTCGCCATCAGAATGGGACACGATGTCCTGATTATCCTACATTTTTAATTAATCTAGAAAAACTACATATAGTTTCAACCTTTTTTGATTTTCCTCATTTGTTGTTTTTTGCACTTCTGTGATTGCTTCATTTTTCAGCCATCTCTTACCTTGCAGGGCGTCCTCTCCCAGCAGCGCCCTCCTCTGGCCAGAGTCCAGCTGGTGGCGTCCTGCTTGCTGGGGCTCCTCTTTGACCATGTGGCCTTTGGACACCCGGAGAGCCTCGGCCAACGCGGGGCTGACCCCGGAAAGATGCGAAACATCGACCGAAGGACGGAAATGATGGACTGGACGATAATCGCGAGGCAGACAGGGAGGCGGGAAGATCTACAGAGAGATACAGAAACATGAGGGGTGTGTCCAGGTACCGATGAGGACACGTGATCAGATATTTTGAAGCTCCTCACTGTTTTTTCCTCGAGGGGTTTCTGTGCCAGAGTGAATCCTTCCAGGATTTTGCCGAGATACGAAGCATCTTTACTTCTGTCTGGAAGCAAAAAAAAATCCAAATAATTTTCCATCTTACTTCATGAATGCTT